AGGCCCTGGAAGATGGCTCCGGTCCCTGACAGCAAGGTGTGTGGACGCGGCACTCCCTGGGGGCCAGCGGCAGCAGTGACAGGCTCCAGCTGCCGGACTGCCCCCCCCACCCCCAGCCATGGGGCTGAAGGCTGCGCCGCACCTGCCTCTTGTACCATCCCTGCCTGCCTCATGCTCTAGCCATTGTCCCCAAGGAAGACAACAAGGGCCATTGTCCCCATTTTGCAGATGAGGAAGTGGAGGCTCAAGGCAGCCACGTCATTTGCTCCACATCCCACGACAGACCCAGCCTTCTGGAGGCTCAGCCCAGTGCTTGAGCCACAGCATCCTCCCAGGAGGGCACCTTTCCCACAATGCAGCAGGGGAGGCCTCCCCCTGTTGGTACAGTTGTCCTGGTTTCTCCGGATCCCCGTCCTTTAACCCAGCGACTCTCAGGCAGGGCAGGCTGCAGCACCCTGGGGTGCCTTGAGACCCTTTCAAGCGGGGCTGACATCAGCACGGTTGGGCGCGCAGACATGATTTGCGCGATAAACTCAGAGATTTCACATGGGAACCTGTAGCGTTTAAAACGTCTTTCCCTGCCACGGGCTTGCCGAGTTCGTTGCAATGGAAGAATCGCTGCTAATTTGTCTGCAGTCAACAAATGAGCAAGAGCCAAGAGTCGGCATTTTCTGGGGGGAACCTGGAGTCAGCAGAACCCCTGCTTTAACCCAACCACTCGCTCATGCCCGGCGCCCTGCCCTGAGGCCCGGGTCTTCTGCAGAAGAGACTGGAAGTGACCCCAGACCAACATACCCAGAGCCCCACCCGTTACAACACCCCTTGCCCTGCAGATGCACCCCCACCGCGTCTCCCATGCGCTTGATGGAGCAGCGAGCGCTGATCTCCTGTGACAGCTGCTCCCGGGGCTGGCCGCAGTCGGGATCGGCATGGGGGTGGCGCGTGTGCATGCGTGCAGAGGGGAGGCGGATATTTAACAGCTCCCAGCACAGCTGCCTGGGTGTCCTGGCAGTCCTGCCGCCTGGCACGCAGGGAGCAGGGTCCAGTATTACAGGTGAGCGATATATCCGTTCCGGCCTGTTTCCCTGAGGGGGAGGAAATTGCAGCCCCCTGGCCACAAGCAGCAGGGAATGGAGATGGGGCGGGGGATTGGGCTCCCCACACGCCCAGCTTAAAAACAGCCGTTAGCCATGGCCTGCGGTGGAAGGGACGGTGTCCGGACTGGCGGGGGCACCCAAGCACGCAGGGCTGGGTCCCACAAGCACCCGTAGAGCTGATGTTCGAGCCAGGGGCAGGGGGAAGTAGCTGCTGCCGGCCGACATCTGGGTGCTGTCAGCGGGCCCAGACCGTGCTCTGCCCCTGCGGCACCAGCCCAGCCCACCTGGTCTTTCAGTGCTGGCTGTCTCCCCATCGCTGCCAGGAAGCCAGTGGGAGCAGAGGCCCAGCCTGCGTACTCCGAGCTGTGATCATGCGGCTCCGACTCTTAACCCCAGCGTACTTCCGCCTGCTCCAGGTAATACTCGTGTCTCCCCTCACCCCGTGATCTCAACCCCAGGGCTACCAGCCCTGCTGCTAGGGCATCCCTCACCCCAGCTCACCCTGAGGTCTCACGGCTCCAGGGAGGCCTCTTTGCCCACGGTCCCCTGGCCCCACTGCAGCCAGAACGGGAACCATTCCTTCATCGCGTGGATCAAGGGGACTTGGGCTTGGTCACGTCCACCGCCAGAGGGTGGATGGGGCACAGGTTCCAGCTAGTTTCCACCGCCTGTTGGACGGGTCTGAGCAGGCAATGCGTTCTCCCATCGCAGCTGCAGCTGTCTGGGGTGCTGGAGTGCGAGCCCAAAGACCACCTGGTGAACCACACGGCCCTGCTCCTGGCCATCGTGGGGCTAAGCCTGTCCTACTACAGCGTCCGGCAGCTGGCCAAACCAGTCAAGCCCCCGCCAGCGCAGTGATGCAGGGAAGGAGCTCCAGGGAAGGAGCTGCCCAAAGCAAGGAAGGTTGCAACAGGGCTGAGGGGGGGAGCTGGGACTTGGACTCCCTCAGTAGGACAGCAGCATGCTCCACTCCTGGTGTCTCATGGCTGGGAAGTGCAGGGGCAGGCTGGCCACAGCGCTGCCTCCTGGACCCTGCAGGGGCATTCCCTGGCCTGAAAGGTGCTGCTAGGCACAGGCCCCACCATCCTGGCCCTTTCCCCCGGCGCTGGCTGCTGTTTCTCCTCTGCCTCCTCGCTGGCCCTCGAGCAGGGTGCAACACACTGGCTTTACCTCTTTCCCCGGACAACTGGATTTGAATCCTAACAGCCTCCCTGCTGTCCTGAGCACCCAGCACCAGTCTCCCACCCCATCATGGACAAAGAATCTGCTTTACAAGCGTGCCCATGAGCAGAGGGCGGAGAGTCTGGTTCCCCACAGCAGCACCATCCCAGCCCCACGGGGCCCCTGCTCCTGGGTCGCACCCAGGCAAGACATGCCCCCAGGCAGGACAGGATCAGATGCAGTGGGATCAGCAGAGACAAGGAGGAAGGGAGAAGCCACCTCCTGCCCGAAGCCAGATGTTAGGCACCTCCTGGCTCCCCATGTAGCCACCAAACAGCGCTTTCCACCTCGCTGGACAGTCGCATGCTCACGTCCCTCCCCACACCAGCAAGATGGGGTGCGACGGGTGGAATGAGCCCCCTTGACAGGCAGACGAGGTTATGCACGGTCGGCCGAGCACATTCACCAGCCCGCCCCGCCCTTGCGCGGCTCGGCCAGCAGCAGTGCATCGTGGGATAGCACAGCCAGTTGAAATGAGGTCACAGCTGCTTGCTGTTATATAATGGGGTGCACGGGCAGGATAGCTGGGACCCACATTACAGCACAGATTAGAACAGGGGATTTGAAAGGCAGGGTGGGCCTACGATAGCCAACGCGAGGCAGTAACGGGACCAGGATGCATTCGGGGTGGGAGCAGTAAGTATCCCTACTGCAGCTGTGGTCTGCTGCACGCTGCCCTTGTCAGCAGCAGGCTCCTCTTCACAGCCCGTGCCTCTCCAGAAATCAGAAACACAGACAAGCGCCACCAGTGTGGAAATGAACTGCTAACAGATGCTAACGAGCCACCGTTAGATTGCGATCCTTCACAGAAAGAGGGGCAGGGTGTGGGTTTAACCCAAGTAAAATAAACCCCATGCTTTTAAGTGACTCACTTGTCTTCTTATCCTTTTGCCGTCCCAGCTTCATCCAGCCAGCAGGTCCCACGATCTCTGCTGCATGTTAAGGTGGCTCAGGAAGGGAAACAAGAGCCTTTTAACAGACACTGAGCTCAGCCCTCTAGACCTGCTGCAATGGCTGTGCTGTAACTGGCTCTGCAGGAGTCTGCAGGGCAGACAGGGGCAGCCTAGTTTTCCCCTCTTCCACCATGCAGCACAAGTATCTGCCCTAACAGGGCTGGGGGCTTCCTCGGAAGCATCCAGCTGCTGTAAATGTAGCCGATAAAAGTAAAAACAGCTGCACCACAGGCTCCCGGGAGCAAGACGGGCAGCGTTTCCACTGTATGACCCCAGAGGGCAGCACCAAGCCACATTGCAGTGCTCAGGATCTCAGAGACGCACTCCCTTCTTCCTCTCTGGTGGAAGACGTGGCGGTCAGCACCTTTCAGACCTGCAACTGCCTCATCTATGTAAGAACGGGCAAGATCCCTGGTCACCCTTCTCTGAGGCAATGGATCTCCCTGGAAGAGTCTCCAAGGCCAGAAGGGGCTGGCTCCCTCCCTGCCATGCCAGTGTCAGTCTCACAGGCAATTTGTATGGCATCTAACATGGCTGAAGCACAGAGGCTGCTATCAGCAGGGATGGGGACTGACTCCTTCACAACAGCTGCCACGCTGGAGCAGGCCAAAGGCCAGTCTCCCGTCTCTGACCGTGGCAAAGAGCACCTGCTTGAGGTGGCACGAGTGGCAGGGGCAGCTTGTGTGCACAGCACACAGCAGACTGAGGAAGGGACAAGCAGTGTAGTGCCAGGTAGGGCAGGGAACAGAAAACTAAGCAGCAGATCAGGCACGGGAAGGGGATCAGAGTGGCACTTGGTGAGGGCGTGAGGCTTAATGTGCGACATGTCTGCCAAAAAGGTCGGCCCCAACTGTTTTAGAGGAAAGGGACACATCCCCTCCGTGTTCCCAGCAGCCATGGGTTTAGGCACGTCCTAAATCTGAGGTTACATCCCTGACTGTTGCATTTAACAGCCCCCATGACCCAGCCGCCAGAAATCTGCCTAAACCCCTTTGGAACCCAGTTATACTACAGACCTTCATAACACCCTGCAGCAGTAAATATAAAAACACCCAAATAAAACCAAACGTCACTTCATGCTTGTTTTAAATCTGCAGCCAACAAAGAGCTGAGACCCAGTGACTGAAAGTTTCCCTAGTCCCTTTCCCCCACACCATTTGACTGATTTCTGTCATAGCCCCTCAGCTGTCTTTTTTCCAAGCTGAAGAGTCTTGGTCTTTTCATGTTCTCATGTGGAAGCTGCTCCACAGCCCTGATCACTTTCAATGCCCTTCTCTGCAACTTTTCTAGCCCTGCTGCGCCCGTTTGCATGCAACAGATGTGCCGTGGATTTATATAGTGCCACAGATGGAAGAAGCGGCACATTTCCAGGACAGGAAAGAACAAGATAGGAGTGTGACAAGGACACAAGGAAGTGGCTCAGGGTGTCAAATGCAACAGATCTGACCAAGAACAGACCTTGGGGGAATTTAAAGTGACCAAGCCCAAAGCTACTCTCATCCCTTTCTTTGCTTCAAGGGCCCCGCAACTTCTTAAAGCTGCTTGCTGACAATTCAGAACCAGCATCTTCAGAGTAAGAGCTTGAGACAGAGAGAGGAGGCCCCATCTGGAGAAGCAGCCAACAGGGGAAAAGCTGCTTTTGCTAGCAATGGGGCTGGTCTCCTTCCCTAAACCGAGTCCCTGATGTACAAGTCAGGACGAAGCCAACAAAGAACATTCTGCTGCTCAGTTAGCGGTCGCCAAACAGTTTATTTGAATAATTGGATGGGCAATTACAGAGCTCAAACTCTGAGCCAAGAGCCATTCTGCCCCCCACTGCTTTAAAAACACCAGATACATAACAATCAGGTCGATATCACAGCAAGAAGCAACTGCCCCTTTTCCCAGACCTCAGGCTGCCCTCTACGTGCAGCTCTGCCAAGAGGAACACAATGCCCAAGTGTCTGGTCAAAGCACTCCCGCAGCCAGCTCTCCCCTCATTCATTTCTTAGAGGGAACACCGAAGCCAATTGCTATGGGAGTCGGGGTAAGGCTTGGTTTTTAGAAGCACTTGCCTAAGTCAGGACAAAGCCCCATTCTGTGGCAGCATCTCATCAAGGGCACTATCCAACACATCAGAGAGCAGCCTCCGTCCCATTACGTCCACTGAACTCAGCTGGATTCTTCCATCTCAAGTGGCTGAGTCTGTACTTCGATCTTCTTCGGAGGGATGTAGGAACCCATCCCAGCTGCCCTCTCTGCTTCTTCCTGGGTATACGGCTCCTCACGTAGCTCCTTCAGCCTAGAAAGGAAAAGAAAAACAAGAGAAACTCTTGAAATCCAGCAGAAAGGTCCGGATGAAGAACCTGCTGTGGAAACCAAGCACCCAGGCAAGTTAGCAAGCAACGAGTCCTTGCTGCCAGCTGCATCTGGACAAAGTCTCAGGGCTGGCACAGCGCTGCAAAGGTACCCAGGATGGCCTAAGGGAGGAGTAATAAAAACTCCCTGTAAAAGATATACAAGTAATATATTAAAACACACACAAGGCTCACAACAGACAGATTCCAGAGCTGGTAGAAAGTCACGACACGGGTCACGTCGAGCTGTTCTCGTGCGCTTTCCTAGCGCGGCAGCACCCACCGAAACCTCCTCCACTGGAGGGGCGAGCGAGAGGGAAACGGCCCCTGCGGCCTCTCAAGAGGCACCTCAGCCACCCGCGAGCGGGCAGACCGGCACCGCGCCTCCTTAAAGCTTAAAAGGCTGAAGCGGGCGTGAAACCAGGGTTTAGCACCGAGAGCTGATCCAGGCACCCAGTTAGCTCCGCTACCTGTGTTACCCAGGGCGGGAGGAAGAGCCCCCACGACAGAGAAACCCGGGCGAGATGGATCTACCCGGCGGACGTTTACACACCTGCGCCCACACCCCCGTTACCAATGACTGGTGAGGACCAGTGCCCCCCACCCCGCCATCACCTTCTCTTGTGAACTTTGGACCGGAAATGCTCCGTCATGCTGCTCAGGTCCACGAAGTAGCGCCTGCGGGAGAGAAGGCAGCGGCTCAGGCAGGAGCCGATTCTGGGGCGGAAAAGAGCGGAAACGGCTCGGGGCGAAGGACGGGGGTCGGGCCGCGGGACCCCGAGGGCACTCCCCGGGGCCGGGGCGACACCAAGGGCGCCCCCAGCCCAGGCGGACCGCGCAGCACGACCCAGGGGGCGGATGTGGGGGAGGGGCTGGGCTCCCCACGACCACGGTGACGTCGGGTCTCGCGGAGGACAGCGCCACGCGTGGGCTCGGGGGGGGTTACGTCACGCGCGGGGACGCACGCGCAGTGCAGGCAGTAGAAGCGGGCGCTGCCGGGCAGGTCCGGGTCGGGCTCCTGGTGCAGCAGCCGCGCCGCCTGCTCGGGCCGCAGGTCCGCGGTGATCTGGTCCAGG